GATTCTTTGAGTTAAATCAAAGAGGAATTTCTTGACCAGCTAAGTTGTCAGCCCTTTTTTTTTATTGCTAGTGGGGTGGGACTAAGTCCCTTGTACTGCGGCCACTTCTGGCCTATTGTACCGGCCCTAGATGATATGTGAGGGTGATTGTCGAGCAATTGGTGAATGAAGATTGGCAGGGGAAACCGAAGTACTCGGAGAAAACCTGCCCCAACGCCACTTTGTCTACCACAAATCCCACTTGTCCAGACCCCGGGATCGAACCCGGGCCACCGTAGTGGGAAGCCAGCGACTAACCCCTTGAGCTATGGCGTGGCCCAGCTGTCAGCCTTACCAAGACGGACTTTACTCTGCAGAGTGGATCAATTTTTTAATTTACCTATCAAAATTTTAGCCTTTCGGACTGCTGAAATAAACCTTCATGTCTACATATTCGACAGGAATCCTTGGACGAGGAATCGGCCCATTGACCTCCATGTACATAGAATAACGCATTTCTATATTTTTAGACGTGTATGTGTGTTTGCATGTTCGTGTAGTTCAACGTGCCCTTCTCTTCGAAGGCTAACGGAAATGGCGGATGCTTACTGCGACGAACGGAGAGGAAGTGTCTATTTTTAAGAAGCCAGCTCAACATTCGTGTGGAGGAAATAAAATATTTCAACATATTTTAGTCAGGGTGGCTACCCTCGTTGGGAATCCATACGAAACTATGTCGCACACGGACGCAAAGGCTAACAGACACGGCGCATATAAGCCTCTGAAGAAAATACAATGTGATTTAATCCATGTTTGAAACCCCGCACTAACGCGAATTTAACAAGCGATATTTTGAGGGATGCGTGGGCACCAGGCTGCAGACGGCGATTAAGATATGTCTGTAATTAAAATGATTCATTCATTCATCAGTAATCTGTCAGATGACAGGTCCACANACCCTCGTTGGGAATCCATACGAAACTACGTCCCACACGGACGCAAAGGCTAACAGACACAGCGCATATAAGCCTGTGAAGAAAATACTATGTGATTTAATCCATGTTTGAAACCCCGCACTAACGCGAATTTAACAAGCGATATTTTGAGGGATGCGTGGGCACCAGGCTGCAGACGGCGATTAAGATATGTCTGTCAATAAAATGATATAAAACAATAAATCCACTTCCTTGGTAAGCTGACATTCTCTCAAGAGACGAAGAAATTTCTCGCTTTTGTGGAATAGAAAGGTTCAGTTCTGTGTTCACGACAGTTACTTCTGGATCCCCTCCTGGTATTAAACTGGTAGGGGAAATAGCACAATTAAGTACATAACACGAAGAAAGCAGTCTTCTGGGATTTGGCGCCGTGTATATGTGGTGTTAACCGACGTTCCTCCGAAACGTCNCAAAAATGTGCGCAAATAGCAACAAATATATGGAACACGAATAGAAGATGCTTTAAAGGGTATATATAATGATCACATGGCGAAACTGATTAGTGTTTCAAACCACTTTCCAGTTTCTTATGAATAAAACGTTCACAACAAAGCACAACGGTTAATCACGGTAACGTATTCCGGGCTTCTAACATTTTTATACGTCTACTATTGCCTCAGACTACAATTTAACGCTTAATATTTATGGTAAGAATACATAATTAGAATCGGATTAAATCATAAATTACACAACCACTGTACAACATGGCTTTAATGAGGACGACCACTGTTGGTAGTAATTTGTAGACATGAAACGATGGCTCTGCTTTGTGCCAGAGAGAGCATGTCTCATGTGCACATCGCATGTGTATGTACGTAACGACTTGAATTAACCGACTCCATGAAGTACAGAACTTCTTCAGTAGCGCACAGTCGCTCAGTCGCTCAGTCGCTCAGTCGGTCAAGTTGTTCCCTGCCTCTTATGGAACCCGAAGGTTCATTACCGTGTTCACGAGATCTACGTCCGTTCACATAGCACGGCTTCGTTTATATAGGAGAAAAAACAAAGTTCTGGGAAGAACCAATTACCTGCCTGCATAGGAAACGACGCGTTCGACAATTCTGCTGTCGTGTTCATTCGTTGCCAAGGGAACGTGTTTACCGAACCGTTGCCTAGCACCGATCGCGGGGGATACACATATAGACACAGTTTCATGGGAGGGATTTATGTAGTTCGCCACTGAGACGGGGTCAGGTACCATGATAAGCATACTAAATTTCTTAAAGATTGGTTCAACGTTCAAAAGTTGATAGGGGGAATGGATACTCAAGCACACAGAATGGTGATCACACACCTTTATTTTTTCAAAGCAAAGGAAGTAGGTTACAAAATGTTATGGTTCAACAAGATAGAAGCCAGACGACTTCATGGGCAGAATAAAGTCCACATCCGAATTTCTATTTATTTACGATATATTTAAATTTCCATCTCTCTACGCCGTGGAGAGACCGTACAGTCCACGCGGTAACACTGTTTCTCTTAATGGTCACTTCATCTTCAGATTTTCGGACAAAAATTTTGTATACATTTCTCATATTACCATGTCTCAATCAATACAGCGCATTCTCTGCCTCTGTTATCGATCCACGCACTGTCGACACAGACTCCCGGCAACAGATCTTTCAGAAGTTTCAGATTTATACAAGTCCTACAGAAAATCTCAATGGGCACAAAGAACATGTTACGTAGGAAACGCCTGAGAATTATGTAGTGAGGGTTGTCTGGTAACGACGTTTACGAGATTATAAACTTACGGCATTAATGCATTTAGGATTTAATTCCTGCGAGTGGACGATGCTTAAAGACACAAATTACCTATGCCATTAACATTATTCGTTTATCATGAAATATTATTTGTATAAGATTTTCTAGGACAAGTACTTCTAAGCCTATAGAGCCTATGGCAAAGCAGATAAAAAACGGGTGGGAAACCCTGCCGTTTAAAAGCTAAAAACGACATATATGTCATAGAAACACCAAGACGATTTCTTTCCGCCTTAAAGCGTAAAAGTAAAAAAAGATAAGGGTAAAGCTGTCCCTGTGCTTAACTAATTAAGCATTACGTCATGAAGACGTATGGGGGAGTCGATGTATAGACCCACGTTTCCTTGACCACGGCACTAGTTGGAGCTCAGTGTTCAGCTTCAGACCCCGGCCGCTTTACCTCCGGGGAAATATCCCCCGGTACCCATTGGATAGGACGTTGGGTGGACCCCAGAGCCGGTCTGGACGACACGGAGACGTGAAAATTCATGCCCCCACCGGGTCTCGGAACTCCGACCCCTCGGTCGTCCAGCCTGTATCCAGTCTCTATACGGAATGCGCTATCCAGGCTCTTCCGTCTTCATGCGTTTCTTATTTAAATGCTGTAAGGAGGTGTTTAAAACTCAAACACAGAAGCTACAGTCTTATCACACAGGCCTGCATGTTACTTACAAACAAACGCCTACTGCTGAAATAATCGCACTGCCGTTTATTAGGAAAACGCCCGCTTCTTTGCCAACTAGATCATATCTGAAAACACTTTCAAAACATAATTCTAGTTGAAGAGTATGGTTTTGTAGATTGCAACCCCGTGTAGTTCAAAGAGAGTCCCACGTTTCTGAGAAACATATCGCCTCCATCTCCAGAAGAAACAGACGGTAAGCATAGCTCCCTCCGAACTACAGAGCATTGCAACCCCGAACTCCATACATTTCATAGTCATCGTTGATGCAAACCTCAAATCTAACAGCGTTTCAGTTCATGGACATAACTACAAAAACAACGAACAGTCACTCCTTTGAAGATCCCCTTGTACATAAATCAATAAACAGAATTAACAGAGAGCTGGCTTAACGTAAGTCTATATATATACACATTTCCTGCAACCACTGCAACTTCGGGCACTGCAAATCCCCTCTTCCGTCTCCCAAACTCATGCAAGCAGGCAGATCGCCGATAACCTATCATCAACAAAGCTCCCATCTTCAAGATCTGACGTTCTAACAGCCGACCATACGTCGATGTATCGTATCCGGGCAATTTGGAAAGAACCCGATATCGTTACCTTTGTTTTTTCTTACCAGAACAAGAGATCACCCGATGTAACGAAGCAAAATACAAGAAACACATTTCTGCGTAAGCCAAAGTCTTTCTGCATTAAATTCGACACTACGTAATATACTGGTTTAAACCACTGTATTTGAAATATAAGGCAGACATAAGATTCGCCGTACAGACAAGCGATAGTTCTATAGATATTCTTGGGTTTCTTTAAGAAAGACGTATAAACCATCTCTGACAAGAGAATACAAAATTTTTTACTTTCGCATACAGTAACAGCCGTAAAAATTATTCGAACGGCGCATTCTGAACTAAAATGGATTTTTTGCATCTATAAAAGGACATGAAACATCTATTCCACGGGTGGGATTCGAACCCACGATCCCGGCCTCCGAGCGAGTGAAGCAGTGCATGCATTAGACCGCTCGGCTACCGTGACCGGCATCTAAACAAATTAGTATGACGTCAACAGCCATGAATAGAAATTCATCGTCAGGGGATGTGAGACCTTATTTCCGTTTCGATGTATTAAACATACGTACATAGCCCCGTAGTTTCAAAATACCCGGGCTTATTTAGGACAGGAAAAACAAAATGACCACTTATTAATTCGGGCGGCTCCGTTAAATTTATCGTAAGACACCACGTGACAAAGCCTGTAAGTATATCAATGGGTAACTTAAAAACACAGAATTCGATTAATCTGACCGGAAATTAAAAATAAATACACAAACCAACTACTTATAAGACTATATATCGCACTGCAGTTTCTTCAAATTGTTACAGAGAGTTCGGAAGACACACATAACATGGGACAGCAATAAAATCACCATATTTAAAAAACAGGACACTAATGAAGCACCCTCGCAGAATCAGGGGTTATCCCGTTAGGTACAGACCATATGTACAAATCATGCAACAGAGGGATATCACGAGTGCAAAATAACGTCTTTACCACAGAGAACAAACAGGCATACGCACCTAATCCCATCCTTTTCTTGAACTTCTTGAGAACTTTCATTTTGCTGCGAATAGGCGCAAGTAAGTCGTCCACGCACTGACAACGGCCTCCAGTAGGGCCCGCAGCACCCAACACCCCCATTAAAAGCCCCAAACCAAAGTCACAAAACTGTCCTTGTCGCGGATGTATATGAAGTTCCTACCACCACAACTTCAGACACACTATAATCAAGTCGTGAGGGAAAGAACTGAGGAAAAACACGTCCACTCCCTACTAGACTGCTTTCAAGACTGTGATCGGGAAGCCGGGACAGACAACAGTTGCAGAGCCACGAGTCGTTAACCAATCCGCGCACGCGTCGACGTATCAAGCCACGCCTTCAGCCACACAGCTGGCCAACGAAACAGCTGCAGTGCCCTATACTCCACATCTTTGCTTTTGTTTACCTAATGGCCAACATCAAAATTAACTCTTTCTTGAAGAGCTGACTGTCGATCAGCCAGTTAAGAAATTCTCCGACTTTTATGAAACTTAAGGATAATTATCATGAAAAATACTATCGTCTGGGACAAGACGATGTGTAGTTCACTGCAAGCCAACCGACGTTTCGGAGGAACATGTCGCCTCTATTTTCAGGGTCGAAGAACCGTAAAAGCAGGCGGCAGCATTCTTGTCACCTGCTTTCACACTGGTTACTTGCTCGGCTTATTCTTCGAACCTGAAAATGGAGGTGACATGTTCCTCCGAAACGTCGGTTGGCTTTCAACGGACTGCACGGAGGTTTTTTTCCCAGATGACAGTACTCCTCTAACCACCGCTGTGAGAACCTCAAATTCTACGATCATTATCACGTTCACTAGAGCCACGCCACTGGACCCTATCCTGGGGCCGAATAAATCTCTCCTCACCCTCTGGCCCAGTTCTTTTGCGGAAAAATATAAAAAGCATGGTTGTACCAATGCTTAATTCAGCTCCATACCACAAAGACGCATGGAGGAACAACTCCACTACTTCTTAATCTTCGGCATTACATGGAGATAAGTAAAGTAAAGCAAAATCGTCCCTGCGCTTGCCTAATTAAACAGTGCACCATGAAGACGTACGGGGGCGTGGATGTATACATCCACGTTTTCTTGACATCGGCATTAGTTGGAGGTAAGTGGTCAGCTTCACGTCCCAGCTACTTTAACCCCAGGGAAAGGGCCCCCCGGTACCCATTGGATACGAGGCTGGGTGGGCTCCAGAGCCAGTCTGGACGACGCGGAGAAAATTCTTGTCCCTACCAGGCCTCGAACTCTGACGCCTCGGTATCCCAGCTCGTAGCCAGTCGCTATACCGACTGCGCTATCCAGGCTCTCATGGAGGCAAGTAGACATGCTAAACAGGTTCTTAGCTGCAGTGCAAATAAACGACGGCGATAGTACAAAACTGTCAAGAAAAGTTTCATTTGGAACACTCACATATCACAATGGGCACAAGTAAACTGTGATTCTAGTGCACCTGCCTTAAAGGGTGCATTCCACCTCCGATCTCTAAATATTTAAGTTTCCTGCCAAATGATCACATTTTAAAATCGGCCTATGAGACGGTTACGTCAATAATGTATAGTCCTACATCCGCTATGAAACAGGGAATTAATCGGCTGTGACTTACTTTTAGACGATTACAAGTATTTCTGGTCAACAATAAATACGTAAGGTAAAGTTGTTCTTCTTAGTACCTTAGAATCTTTACAAAGATTCTACCTCTCGGCAATAGACATAATTCGATTTTGCATAGGTAGCAGAAAAAAGCACAACACAACTTTAGGACAAGAGGCCAATGCGGGACGTAAAAACCTGCCTGCACGATGTGGCGAAAAGAAACACTCCTATCCCTGTTGTGAATCGAACCACGGTCGTCTAACCTACTTCAACAATAGGCCTAAATAGGCTACTAGCTACATTACTCTCTGATTCGGGGATAATTAATAGGCTATCTGTAAAGATCCATACATAGAGGCCTAATCATTGGAATGGAAACATTGGGCATATGCAGTTCTGTTTCAAGATAACAATGACATAAGATCTGAGTAACATTACTGGGGGTTAGCCTGCGCGAAACGTCATAAATTGTTGGATTTGAGGTTCTCACGAGGTGACTATGACGAGTTCTATCGTCTAGAATATTACGAGTAATCCGGTGAAAATCAACTGACGTTTCGGAGAAGCATGTTGCTTCAATCTTCATGGCCGAAAATGGAGCTGATATGTTCTTTTTCAAAAGTCGGTTGAATTTAACCGGGATTACAATGCGTTATATCCCAGGCGACAGAACTATTCACAATACAGACTGCTGACTGAGATCTTATCAGACGGCTTTATCTACATGTTCAAACATATATTTCCAATTTTGATATCTTGGATGAAAAAGCTCACTCAGGTTTATTAGCGTCAAATATTTAATAATAGGAAACGCGATAGTGCAGTAGGTACAGCGACTGGCTACGGGCTGGACGACCGAGGGGTCGTAGTTAGAGTCCCGGTAAGGTCAAGAATTTTCTACTCTCCACGTCGCCTAGATCGGCTCTGGGGTCCACCCAACCTCCTATCCAATGAGTACCGGGGGTAAAGCGGCCGAGGTGTGAAGCTGACTACTCACCTCCAGCTAGTGTTGAGGTCAAGAAAATGTGGATCTATACGTCCACACCCCCCATACGCCTTCATGGAGTGGTGCTCAATTAGTTAAACACAAAGAAAACCTAACCTTTTATTTAACACTGAAGACTATCACTATGTGTACATTTTACTTACAAGTACACTGCTGAATACGCCAAATGACATCCTGCAGTCTACATGCCCATCCTACTTCAGAGAGCACGGACGGCTCTTTGAAGAATCTCAGGGTCGTCTCATATATTAATAACTGCAATCATAATTCGACCAACATCATCATCTACCGTTTGCGACTATTTTGCGTAAACTACTGTTTCCACACAGTAAGCACACTCACAGGGATAGATCCGGCGACCTTGGAGTCCATAATTCTGTACTACAACCTCGAACAGTCCAGCGAATAAGTAACTCCTTTATTTGCCTATTAAAATGAGGCAAAGCGTCAGAACAAAATAGAATATGTATTTATAATGTAACATTTTCAAGAATAAAGTAGCTGACAGGCAGTTGTAACTTTTACATCCAGTCACAGCACAAGCTACAGACTGCAAATGGCCAACCAGTGGCACGGGTTGGATACATCATTTTTTTATTATTATTCTTAGTGGGGTGAGACTGAGTCCACTTGGTACTGCAGCCACTACTGGCCTATAGTACCAGCCCCAGATGATAGATGATGGTGAATGTGGAGCAATCGGTGGAATGCGAATTGGCAGGGGAAACCGAAGCACTCGGAGAAAACCTTCCCCAGTGCCACTTTGTCCACCACAAATCCCACATGACCTAAACTGGGATGGAGCCCGGGCCGCCGTGGTAGGAAGCCGGCGACTAACAGCCTGAGCTATGGCAGAGCCTTAAGATACATCACAGGTGTGACCANGAGCCCGGGCCGCCGCGGTGGGAAGCCTGAGCTATGGCAGAGCCTTAAGATACATCACAGGTGTGACCAAGAAACAAACGGTATCCCATATTAGGCGAATTTACCCTACTACCTCATGAAGTTCAAGAGGTGGCACTGGAGTAGTAAGGACGGCTGTCATGCTTGTTGTTGTTAAGTAACCTTTGAAGTTAATGTGGTACCAAGCAACGTAAAGGTTGACCGCCCTCGTAAAGAATACAAGCCATATTTTTCGGGGAAATAATATCAAAAATGGGGCCATCTACACAACAATAATATCTACGAATGTAAACAAAGACAAATCGATACTAATGTATCACAATTCGTTTATTGTTCAAAGGTGTTCTGCTACATTTTTCGACCTTCAAGAGGTCATCATCAGGTGTTCTTACAAGAATTCTTAGTTATTTAATAGTAATTTAATATGGATCCATATTACAATTTGTTTTATTTTTGAGACTGTCAAATATATCTAATAAATACACACTGAAACTGTAATAATTTAGTTTTAATTTTGTTTAGATATTAAGACGGATAAATTTTATATATAGTTTGGATTTTAATATTACATAGTTATTAATGTAATTTTGTCCTTGAAGATAATTAAAAATTAAAGATTACTTTTTTTAATTTTTCAAATTAACTACTCTAGTTACACTTGAGATATGTAGTTGATTCTAAGCGAAGCTTAATTTTTTTTTAAATTCGCAAAGTGGGGGGTGGAGTCCAGTCGGATCCACTCGGCACGTCGGCCACTGTTTGGCCTGTTGTACCTGCCCCAAGTGATTATGATGACGGGAGAATTTGGTGAAATGAAGATTGGCAGGGGAAACGAAAGTACTCGGAGGTCACTTTGTACACCACAAATCCCACATGATTAGACTCGGGCTTGAACCCTGGCCGCCGCAGTGGGAAGTCAGTGACTAACAGCTTGAGCTATGGCGCGGCCTAAGATAAGCTTAAAGTTAAGAGTAGTTTTGGGGTCATCAGGTTTTGTCGTAGTTATAAGTTGCTAAGTTGAAAGCAGCAGGTCGACGCAAAGTGAGGGGGCCCTTCTCAGAATCTCTGAAGCGTTGATTTACTTCTTCCGCCGTGTAAGGGTTGCTCGGCGGGTCGTTCTCAACTAGTTTTGTTCTTGCAAGTAGAGAGTTTGATGCGACTGAGAAGGGGCCCCGTTGCTGTTGTTGTTGTTGTTGTTGTTGTTCGCGTTGCGGCTCCGCTTACACCACATGCATTTCTGTGTGCTGTGTATAACTAACGTTGGTTTGAATCCGTACTTCACTACGCAAATACCGTCCCTCTTCGCATCTCTTAGTGATTTAGCATTCGGTTTTAATTTCAATTTACTTGTTCGTCACGCAAAATGTCGGCTAAAGATACGAGATTTCAAATTATTATTTTCTATCAGTTCCCAAATTTTTCTCTCTCATGAGAGGATGTAGGCCCTAAAAGGATTAGCACGTCAGCACCCTCAACGCTCATCATATTATCAGGGCGATCACGCTAAGGAGGGAAATGAGACGTGAACTCATGGGACACGTATCAGGCAAGGGACAAATGCGAAATAGATACAATATCTATGTTGAGAAGCAGCATGGGAAGAGAGAGACAGGCATATATTAGTGGATAAACTTACTCCAGCCCACCTACTCCACGAACCAGAGAAGATCTGTAGGCAACTTCACGGAAGGAAAGCCCTGTGTATGTATGTCTGAATTTCCCACCGGCG